TGCACGTTGGAGAATTTCCACCTTTATTGGATCATATTTAATTTTTTTCTCAATCCTGTTCATGAGGCTGATTGAAGGCCTTAGCCTCTACCTCTTACTGATCAATACGCTTCATCGCCAGATCAGGATGGTCCTCAGACAGTCTTATTGACACTGTAAATGCAGCAGCTTAATGTCTTTTGTTGTCATGTCAGGCAGTGGGCCTGGTGGATTGTCTGAAGCGGTACCAGACTCCAGACTCGGGTCAGTGTTTATCTTCTCAGATGGATCCAGAATGCCTTCCTTTGATCGTGATATCAGCTCCTGTGGCACATTAACATCCCAGGCCTGTATAAGCCAAAAGGCCATTTAGATGTAACAAAGTATCCTCTGTGGGATGAATAGGGCATCTGCCGGAGGCGAGGGCTCTCTCTCTCTCTCCCTCTCTCTCTCTATGTTCCAACCATCTTCTGTGTACACGGCCGAAACAGGAAGGGCAAGGCGGCCTTAAACTGTCGATTCAGGTTTTGATGAAGCCTGTTATCAGCTTCCTGCAGCCCGGAGCAGCGTGATGTCGTCAGGGACAAAGTTCGGCTCTTTTTTCCGTTTGTCGAAGGACAGGGGAATAAACCGAGTAAAGCCTGGTTACCTCAGTGCTCTCAGCGGTTTGTTTCATATCACAGCCCTGACTGTGTTTTACCCCGACTAACCTCTGGATTGGTGAAATGTCACAATCATTTCAAATGTGTGATAATGAGCAGTTTATTTTGTTTATCACGTTTAGTATTTTCATCAGTGTAAAAAAAGGCTGATAGTATTGTTTCGTTTCCTGGTGGTTTTATATAGAATGTTCACACATCACAACATCATTGTTTACAGTGGACCTCCCCTCAGGAAGTACAAGACCTGCATTCTTTTGTGTGGATGATTTTTTTTTTTGTCTGTACACAAGCTTTGCAGTTGTTTTGTTGCTACATGTGGCAGAGAACCCAATCATATTACATAGGCTCTAAAAAAAGAGTTACATAGAACTGCTGCACACTGCACCCTGGTACATTTATGTTTCCATCTGACCTTCATCAGGTATATGAAGGCCCAAAAATGCTATTTTCGTGTTTAAATGTGTGATGAAGATAAATGAAACCGACACATTTTTAAACACTATTGAGTTATAACACACTAGCATCTTGACTTTAGCGTTTTATTCTGTCATTTCTTTCATTATTCAGAAAGGATTTTTGGCCTTACAAAAATAGAAAGCCCCAGGCTTCCACTGACACCATGATTTAGAGTCATTGCCTTATATCCATCCATCTTCTTCCACTTATCCACTTCAGGGTCACGGTGGAGCTGGAGCCTATCCCAGCTATCATAGTGTGAGAGGGAGGGTTCACCCTGGAGAGGTTGCCAATCTGTCACAGGGCCTAACACACAGAGACAGACAGCTATTCACACTCATACCTACAGAATCAGAATTAACCTCTTTGGACTATGAGAGGAAGCCAGAGTACCCAGAGAGAACTCAGACAAAGGACAACATTAAACTTGGATTTGAACCCAGGACCTTGTTTTGAGGCAAAAGTGCTAACCACCACATCGCTGTGCTGCCCATTGCTTTGTAACATTTCCTGGATTTGAGAACACAGGGCCTATCCGCTGCCTCTCCCATCCCACACTAATACAATCATCTTCTCTTTTTTCTCTTCACAGTTGTGTTAATTGGAGACTCGGGTGTGGGGAAGAGCAACCTGCTCTCTCGATTCACACGAAATGAGTTCAACCTCGAGAGCAAGAGCACCATTGGGGTGGAGTTCGCCACGCGCAGCATCCAGGTGGACGGCAAGACGATAAAGGCTCAGATCTGGGATACAGCAGGACAGGAGCGCTACAGGGCCATCACCTCAGCGTGAGTCCGATGTAGCGTTGTGCACATGCATCTGCACGTCGCCTCTGCATTGCAATCAACGAAGGGAATTCACTCTTAACATCCATGTTGGGTACTGTTACAGCTACTACAGAGGAGCGGTGGGAGCGCTGCTAGTGTATGACATAGCCAAACACCTGACATATGAAAATGTGGAACGCTGGCTGAAGGAGCTGCGAGACCACGCCGACAACAACATCGTCATCATGCTGGTTGGCAACAAGAGTGATCTGCGCCACCTCAGAGCCGTGCCCACAGACGAAGCCCGCGCTTTTGCAGGTACTGCTGCAGAAAGGTTATTGGTACAGTGATGTTTCACTCTTACTAAATCTGTTTTCTTTCCCATTCCCCAGAAAAGAACAATCTGTCTTTCATAGAAACTTCAGCCTTGGACTCAACAAATGTTGAAGAAGCCTTCAAAAATATCCTTACAGGTAGGTGTGCTTGTGAATGGAGGTTGAATGCCAGAGCTCCACACGTCACTAGAATATTAAAAAAAGATCAAATCACACACACAATGAGGCATGAAACCTTTGGTTGATATGCAGTAGATTCAGAGAGGATAGTTTGTTTTGGTAGCTTAACTTTTTTATTCTTTATAAAGTTTTTTTTTTTTTTTTTATAATAAACTGTATTAGTCGGGTACCGAGTGAGGAGCTGTAAAACTACCACCTCACATCCCACATTAGTGGTTCTAAAGGTAAATTATGCAAGCTTTTAGACTGAGAGAGAAAGCTGATGTTTTCCATTTCATCTTTTCAAAAAACAGAAATTTACCGCATCGTATCGCAGAAGCAGATTGCCGAGCGGTCTGCCCATGACGAGTCCCCGGGAAACAACGTGGTGGACATCAGCGTGCCGCCGACCACAGATGGCCAGAGAGGAAGCAAACTGCAGTGCTGTCAGAACCTGTAACCCATTGCAACGGTCCCCTCCTTACCTGGGTCAGTTATTAATTGAAATCGACAGTGTTGACATGCTTCCATCTGCTCGGGATGCAACGTTGTCTGAATCTGCACTTTTTAGAAATCAGTGGAAGCAGTTCCTTTATGCCACTAACGATCAATCTCAGAGAGAAGTGTTTGAATTGATTTCAAGTTGTAATCTGACCCAGGAACAGTCTGCTACATTCAAGTGCAAAAACAGGACTGAAGGTACCACCTAAGCAGCTGCCACAGTTAACCCCGACGGCGTAGCAGAATAGCCTTTCCTGACACCTTATAAGCCTAGTCATCTGCCTGTTTGACAGTTAATGCAACACACTTGGAGGTCTGGGTTTCCAATCCTGTTTGATCTGTATCAGCAGTCCTGTTTTTGGGCTTCTCTCCTCCTCCTTCAGTCATCTCAAAAGTGGTTGTGACGCTGCTGGCGCTTATTTCATTTGTGTAAAATATATTCTTTTTCTGTTTTGATTTTGATAGCTTGTCTGCTCACACACATTATATTAATGCCATGAAATTAAATTTTACAATATTATTTACCGCCTCCTCTGTATTTTTTTTTTTTAGCAATATACACAAAGTGACATGCTGAATGTCTAGACCACTATCTCACTTCACATTACTGACTGCTGATGCATCAGTAGCCTTTGTTAGCAGGGTTTAACTTCTGCTTCGGGTAAAATTGAAGCTACTTTTTGTACATTCATTGGCCATTTATTACGTATACCTGTTCAACTATGGCAGCTTTTAGAGCAGAGGTAGGCAAATCCAGGCCTCAAGTGTCCTGCAGGTTTTAGATATCACCCTGTGTCAACACACCTGAATCAAATGATTAGTACAGTCCCAGGCCTCTGGAGAACCTCAAGACATGTTGAGGAGGTCATTTAGCCATTTGAATCAGCTGTGTTGGCTCAAGGACACATCTAAAACCTGCAGGACACCAGCACTCGAGGCCTGGAGTTGCCTACCTGTGATTTAGAGAATTGTCAGGATGACCTGCTGAAATCCAACCTAAGCATCAGAATTAGTGAAGAAAGGTAGTTTTTGGTGCCAAACAGGCCAGTCTGAGTATTTCAGAATCTGCTGATCTACTGGGATTCTCCCACGCGACTATTTATCTCTAGATAGATATCCAATAAGTGGCAGTTCTCTGGAAGAAAATGTCTTGTTGAGGTCAGAGGAAAACAGTCAGAAGGCAACAGTAACTCAAATAAACACATCTTACAAAGTATACAGAAGAGCATTTCTAAACACGCAGCATGTCCAACCTAGTAGTGGCAGATGAGCCCACCAGGTGCCATTGCTGTCAGATAAAAACAGGAAATTTAGATTAAAATTAGGACGGGCTCACCAAAATTGGACAACAGCAGAAAAAAACAGCAGGAAAAATCTTGACTTTCAATTTGTGCTGTGACATACAGATGCCAGGGAAAACAACATGAAAGTATGGATCCATCATTCCTCAGATCAACAGTTCAGGCTGGTGTTGTAGGTGTAATGTTGTGGGGATATTTTCTTGGGACACTTGGGGCCTTGGTACCAAATGATTAACAAAATTAGCCTACATGTTGACTTTATGCCATGAAGAGTTAACACTGAATTAACACAGTTCTAAAGGCAACGGGAAAGTGATCCAAGAACGTCGGGTATTATTGTAAGGTCTTGGCTGTACAATAGGAAAGGCTTTTTACTATATGCGTAAATAAAATTGAATTGAAGTAAAAATAAGTGTACACTGGGTGTACACAGGTCTGAAAGAGTTATTTAAATTGTGTCATCTGAGTAGCTAAAAGAGGAAATCGCTATTTAAGGTAACCACTAACTCATTTTCAGTCTGAAAAACAGCTAAACACTTCTTTATTTGGTGGTGGTGAGGGGGTGTCTAAAGACAGGTTGGGAACCACGACTGTATTACTTGGCAAATAAATATATTTAAAACCATGTGTTTAAGGTCAAACCCTAACTATGGCATGAAAAACAGGTTCAGTGAACTTCCTTTCTGAAATATAGCGAAGTACAATATAGCCTAAAAAGGAAGTATATATGCTTCAGACAGTACTTCAGTAAATGTACTTTCAATCATTGGTTACATTCACTGTACAAAATGCACATGCACAATTTCCCAACACAAACATATTAAACAGGAGATCGGTTCATTTTTAGATTGTGGTATAACTCACAGTTTATTCAGTCATCTTCTCTGTGGAATAAGAAAAAGAAAAGAGAGCACAAAGATCACCCACATCCGAGTCCAGGAGTCCCTCATGTTTTATTGCACAATAACCCAATTTTCCAGGGGACTGCAGCAGGAAGACTACAATAACACAAAATACTTTGTCTAACAAATGCTGCATATATCGACTGACATCTCAGAACACGCTTGCCTTTGTGGACCTTTACGAAGCACCAGTCTGCTCTGGTACACCTGTGTTTTTAATCCATTAATGTCACGTTTCCCAAAGCTATATTCTGCTCTTTTTAAAATTGCATCACTTGTGATGTAAGACATTACTACTGGTCGTTGCTAGGCAGCTCAATTGATGAATGGTGCATTTACAAGTGGAGCAGGGCTGTTTGCTAATGCACTTTTATGACAGTAGAAGAAACATAATCCGATTAAAATGTAAACATGATTCCACACCTTCAACACTCGTGTCCTGTACGTTACTGCACTGCCATCCACCAGCTGGAGTTAGTGTTATCCCATATACTACAATGCTCACTGGCCCCCGTGACAAGTGTGATTAATACACGAGACCTGCATCAACAGGAAGGTGATTTGGTTTCCACTCTTCAGACAGCAATGGAAAAAAAGAACAAAGAAAAAAGATTTTCCTGGAAAAATGAAGAAGGGTTCAGATTATAGACAAGGACAGTGGTATGAACAAATGTCGCTCCCTACTTGTTAAAAGCAGAACAAAAGAAAAGATTATTCACAGAGTTTGTCAAAAAATGTTTTTTGTTTTTTTTTTAGATTATTATCCTCCGCCAGGCTATTGCTTGCCCATTGTTCCAAAACAGCTAAATACGTGGTGAAGGGGCTTGGGGGAATTATAGGTAGTGAATATGTTTCATATTATACTGTAGTAGCATGCTGAATCAGTTATATTCTGCTACATTAGCTTGTGTCTTAGTATTTCATAAGTTTGTGACAATGACTTAAAGTCCAGCTGATTAGTCCATTTTCCATGTGTCCAGGCATTCGCATCCTGGCACTGTTCGTTTTCATCAACAACGACTCCTGAATGAGTTCAAAAAGTTCAAAACCACTTTTGTGGCTAGCCAATACCATAGTAGTTTACATCAAGTGCTTTAATAAAGAAAACAGAAGGGGGAGGAAAAAAAGCAGTTCTTCCCTCAGAATGGTCCATATGAAGTGCAAAAGTTCATTAATATGATTAATTTTGTTTTTAGAGAGTGCTTCAGCGGGCTCTATTTTAAATATTCCACTTGCCCCTGCTCAGCACTCATACGATGGTCTCGTCAGTCATTTTCTTGGTCGACTTGGTTGGCACCGAGCGTTGGGTAGTGTGTGCCCCTTTCATGTCGGGCATTAGCAGGCGCACTTTCTGATTGGTCCTCCTCCACTCCGAGTACAACTGACAGTGATACCGAAATGACACCTGAGAGTGAATGAAAAGAAAAAGGGAGGGGGCGAGACAAGAGGTAACAAAGGACAGAAAGACAGATATCAATAAAATTAGCACAAAGGTATCTGAGAGAGTAGTACAGATGCTGCACAGCAACTACTGCACGACAGGGAACTGAAACCTGAGTAGAAAGGCCGAGCTTTCACAGTCAGTTTACATTTTCAATAACGATAAAAGGAAAACACTTCAAAAAAAAAAAAAGCCATTTAGTTTACCAAAGCCCAGTTCTAGACCCTGTTAAAAACTCCAGCTAACGAAAGGTGTAGAATAAAGCCAACTTATTGTCAGTATTCGCAGTCAGCTATGCATGTATGTGCAGGCGTTCTGTTTCTGTTCCAACACTCAAATAAACTGCTCCAGGCCACAATATACTCCACATGCCTTCACATGTCTCCACAACTGACTGAAGCTGTACCCAGAAACGATACTGTAATGTCTACAATAATCAAGGTAAGAACAATTACCTGGACGTGTGCTTGTCTTGGTATCATAACTGAAAATCAAAGCTTTAAATATCGAAACTATTAAAAAAGGGGCTTTGATTTCTAAACTACCTTATAAACACTTGGATCTACCCCCCCCCCAAAAAAAAACATTCTGCAATTGGTTACCAGTGTCCAAAGGATGTAGATAGTGAAGAGGGCGATGGTGAGGGCAATAAGGCCAACAGCTTCGAGTCTGCTCTTCAGCTGCAGGTGGTCCTGTGCGCCCCTCAGACACAGCCAGCCGGAGATAGCTGCCAGGGGTGTGATAAGAAGGAAACAGGCCATGTCGCAGAGCAGAGTGCGCTTCTCACTGCGAGGGCCCGGGTCCTTCAGCCACTGCAAAAGACCAAAATGGGGAGGTCGATGATACGCCTGAATCGAGCACATTAAATGATTAACTGATGTGTCTTAGATTATAAAAACAAGAATGAGCTTTAAAGAGGAGTGAGCTGCCTGCATGAAGTAATTAATAAAGCCATAAAAAGAGTATTCTAACCGAACACTATTCACACAAGGTCAAGCAAAACAATCCTCAGTACACGCAAATGATCCCACTTGCTAAACATGTTACTTGCTGGCACAGATACTTAATGGCATAAATGAAATCTTCCAAATGCTTACAAAGCTGAAAATATCAGTACAAGGCAAAAGAAGAAATAATCTCCTTGCTTTAGACAAAGCTCATGGCCGTCCATCTCGTTAGCCTCTTACTGAACCGAGGTTGGAGCCTATCCCACCTGACATTAGGGAAGAGGTGGGATACACCCAGTCAATCACAGGTCTCATACAAAGAAACAAACAGCCATTCATGCTCGCACTGAGCCATACAGTCAATTCAGAATCACCAATTAACCTAACAAGCGTTTGTGGACAGTGGGAGGCAACCGGAGCGCCCAGAATAAACCCACACACTAACCGCTTTTTATAAAAAAACCATAAAGTAGAGAAATGAATTCACACAGTAAAACTTTTCTAACCTGAGTGAGTGGCTGTGGTCGCCGTTCAATAGTGAACTCAGTGTGACAAAGTTCACAGTAGCTGGTGTTGGAGGATGACAGCCACTTCTCCAAGCAGCTTTTATGCACTTTACCCAGAGTACCAGTACAGTCACAGGGCGAGAGCAGCGTCTCTCCTCCAGCTCCCTCGTGACAAATCCGACACATACCCACGTCGCTGCGCGAGAGACAGCAGAGCATTGAAGACAGAAAAGTAACAATAACATATACACAGTTTAATTACGCTACATTTATTTGGCTACCATGCGTGTTTCTCCCTCCCTTACCTCTGTGAGCTCACCGCTTTGACCACGGTGGAGAGTGGGCGGCCATCTTTAGCCGTAACCTTGGCAATGTACTGGGCCTGCGCGGTGGAGTCAGTCTCCTCGGAATCCTTGGAGGCATCGGATTCGGCAGTGCCAGAATAATCACAAAGGGAGCCGGGTAGGTGACAGCAGCCTGACGAAGACATAGTCAGCTGAAGGTGACAGCGACGCAGATGAAGGCGGAGGCGAATTTGAAAGGAGCTCTGATCCAAAAGGTGATGTCCAACTCCACTTCTTCTCCTCCACCTACAAAGCTACCGCCTAGTGGATGCTGGAAAAGATGAAGACACAAAGTATGGTTGACTTGGATTATTACTTTATGCTCTTAATTTTCCCGAATAGGAATAGTGATGGTTAGCATGAATACATGCACATATAAATGCACATAAATGTCAGCTTTCACTGCCAACACTGCTCACTGGTATTCTTGATCTGCAGCTGGACTTTAGCCAAAATTACATAAAAACCTTTTTAAAAAATAAAGGAATGACATAAAAGCTTGTACTATATTTAAAGCTATTAGGCTGCTGTATACTTTATTTATGACCAAGGTTGGCTACTTTTAATTCAATTCATCATTCATTCAAAGTGGCCTGCAAAGCTTTACAGCTATTCTGATTCAAAGCAGGCCTATGAATTCTAGTGATATTATCCCATCAATTATTGATAACAAAAATGATTCTAAAAAGTATTTCCTTGGTTTTTCGTTTTAGTATTAAGACTTCATACATACAAAAACATGTTATAATAGTGTAATAAAAAATGCAATGTTAAAATACAGAATAATCAGAAATACTGTAATACTTTAACCTGTCACTTTTTCTCATGTACAATAACACAGCATACCACAAACCACCACCCTATGAACACATTTAAACAGAAAATTGTTTACATATTTATGACTTTTCAAATTTTTTATTTCTCTCTATATACATTTTGGTAGTTTTTAAACTTGTTAATATTGTTAAATTTTCAGATGTTTATGGATTTTTTGTTTTTTCTCATCAAACGAATTACATTGTAATATTAACCCAGCTTCAACTTACACATAACAAATGTCATATGGTTTTCAAAAAGTGCCACACGTGACATATTAGGTTCTGATGTGAGTTGCAGCCCTGAAAAAACGTTTGAATATTTTACTCCAAAAAATGATGTCTCTTAATAACTAGTAACTGGCTTCAACAAACTCTGAGGGAAGCACACTGCGGTGTAGATATACATTTTAGATAGACCTTAAGGACACTAGGAGTGGGATCAGGGTGGCTGTGTGTTACCCATACCTGTCCCTGCAATAGTCGTGCAATGTGATATAGTCAACAACGCAATCTTATGTAGCTGCCTTAAAAAAAGACTAAAGACAAATCACAAAAGACAGTGTGCCAATATACTCGTGTATTTAAAGGTGCACAAAGCAAGCTTCCTGATGTTACCGTGATGACTTAGTACTGTTATCGACACGTTACACATCAAAGGCTAGATCAAAATCCGACTCTATTTCTGGTACATGACTGAGTTGCTTAAAATTTCCCAGCTGACATTAATTATGCCGTACATGTCCATATCCCCGATACAGTAACGCTAACATGCAGCGCCGACGAAAGCTAATTTATTTAATAAAGCAACGTACGTGTACAGAACATAACCAGAGGCCAGCGAACAAGCTGGGATATGATACTTGTATAGAAAGTCCCATCGCTGTGGTCAAAAACACAAACAGGCTGTACCGTAAATATACTCACCCGACGGCCTGCCTTTTCTCGGCTGGCCTTGGCCCTGCGTTGGCCAGACACAAGCTAGCTGAGCTAACTGGACAGCTCTAGCTACAAACTATGACATTGACGTCTAAACAGAAGCTGACGATAGAAGGGGATACAGAAGACGATCGTGTGCGTTGCATCCTCTCCATGGCTGGTAGTGCAAATCACTGGGGTAATTTTCTCTTTTTTTTAGTGCGGAAAATACACGGCTGCCAGGATCACTGGAGTCAGCTAACGAGGCTAACTGACTAGCAACGGGCAAGCCTACTTCGGTATCCCTCAGCTGTGGATTAGTCACGTGACACAATGGTGCCTTCATCGTCATTAGCAATGTTTTAGTGCTACATGTTTACATACATGTTCGGGGACATAGTATCAAAATAGGGATAGATGGAATATGTTGTCAGAGTGAGTAAGTAAAAGTGGGACTGCTGAAAATTTTGATGATAAAGATAGTGTATATAATGTATTTTGTTTATTAACTCAAAGTTACTCAGCAGCACAAAGAAACTTAAAACGAAAGGGATATATATTCCGAGCATTTTGTTATGGCACACACCGTTTTATCGATTAGAAAACCAGGCTAAATGCTCTACAGTTCCAACAATACAAGTTCTGAATGTACTTTTTATTAAAGTGTTTCAGTTTCGTTTTCCTTTCGTTTTCCTTTTAAACTATCATTACTTGTTTGATTTCAATGACGGAACAGTTATTAATCTCGTCCTGGAAACATCTGTATTAAACTATGTCAGAATAAAACCGTTAGGTGGCAGCATTTAGTTAACCCTCTCAGATTGTTCCCTGGTCCACCGGTGGTGGCGCTGTTATTCCAAAATTTCGTTCCACGGAAATTTTAAAGGTTCCACAGGGGTTTTGAGGGGGGCCTTGGAAAAACATGGGTAAATTTGATTTATGGACTCTAGGCTTGCGTGTCATGATAAAATATATGAGTTACAGTCAAAATGGCTTGTTCAGTTTTGTAGCTGAATCTTGAAAGCTAAACCAACCTGTGGAAACGGGATGAAGATGTGGCGCAACCAAAGAAATTCAACATTTGCTCCAGAAACAACACCTAAAAATAGCCATTTGACACCTGCAAAAAATAATTCTGAGGTAGACTACTTTTATTGTTAAGTATCTAAAATTTGTGCTGCTCCTTCTACTTTTATAAAGAAAAAGTTGTTTTCCCTACTTCCCTATATTCATTCTCAAGTTAGTGCTTTGGAAAACCTAAGTGAGCATATAAATACCAGTATGATGCAAAATTGCTGAGCCACCCCCCATTTCTTTATAGTTTGCTTAAAGGAGTCAGATTTTCTTGCACATTTTAAGTGGTCTTGAGCAATAATTTTTCAGGCTTTATGACTTTAAAAGGTTTTCTTTAGACTGGCTGTTTTTTTTTTATCGCTCTTTCTCAATCTATTCCTTGTAGCTGACCATCTTCAGAGGAATGTATTTGTTTATGAAGCCACTTACTACTGACCTATGAATCTTTCAACCATACAAAGGTACATAGCTCAAGGGATGGACCAGTGTTGTGTCTACACTTAAAAGAAAGCTAACCAAAGATCCAATTTCAAACGGTATCTCTAGATGTTTCTTTTTCTTTAGTTGAATCTATGAAAAAGCCAAATGTAACCCAATTCCACTGACATGAAATAGAAATAAATATACATTTGTACACCAACAAGGTACAAAAATACAATTTCAAGGTATTTGCCAAAAGCTTGACATGAAAAATGACAGGAAAACCTGTGGTCACACCAAATGTTGTTTTAATTGTCAGAACTCTGTTTTTGCCTCATATACTCTATTTTCAGGTATGCTTGCACATTTTTGATTGCTGCACGTATTTCCCATTTTCCTCATAAAACATGAAGAAATGAGGCTTGGCTCAAGACTTTTGAACAACAATGTACTTTTAATATTGTGTATATAAAATTTGTGCATGACTTTAAAATACAGTCCCTCTACTTTAGATAGTGTTTTAGGCCCGCTACTGGTTCTTTGTTTATTATGTTTAGACACAACACTGATTCATTCAATTTAATTGTATTTTTATAGATCCAAATTTGGGGCGACCGTGGTTCAGGGGCTTGGGAAGCTCATCTTGTAACCGGAAGGTTGCCGGTTCGATCTGTTTTGGTCGTTGTGTCCTTGGGCAAGACACTTCATCTCCCTGGCCAGAGGGACCAATTGCGCGATATGGCAGCCTCGCCTCTGTCAGTCTGCTACAACTGTAGCTTACCTCCACCAGTGTGTGACTGTGAGAGTGAATGAACAGTGGAATTGTAAAGTGCTTTGAGGGTCCCGAAAAGCGCTATATAAATGCAATCCATTATTATTAAATCACAACAACAGTTGCCTCAAGGTGGTTTATATTGTAAGGCAAACACTCTACAATAATAGAGAGAAAAGCCCCAAAATCAGATGATCCCCTATGAGCAAACACTTGGCGACAGTGGGAAGGAAAAACTCCCTTTTAACAGGAAGAAACCTCCGGCAGAGCCAGACTCAAGGAGGGGCGCCCATCTCCTGTAACCGGTTGGACGTGAGGAAAGGAAGACAAGACCAAAGACATGCTGTGGAAGAGATCAAGAGATTAATAATACCTATGCTTAAATTCAGAGTGGTGTAAAAAATTCATAGGTCATTGTGATGGCATGCCACACATGTTACCTGGGGTTTGGCTTCTCCTGTCTGGCAAAGGGCTGGGAGAGCTGAAGTATCACTGACAGCCTAATTGGATACAACCACATGCTTCCTTCCCTGGGGGGTGTTTCATGTTTGTTTAATTGTTTCGTATTAGTTGGTTATATGACAGCCATTTTGTTTTCCCCTGTGTGTGCCATTTGGTTTAGCTAAACCAGTATTTAAGTTCCCCCAGTTTATCTTATGTTTGTTTGAGGTTTTGTTAGTTATTATCTTGAGTTTAGTCTATTGAGTTGACCTCTTTTATTGTTCTGCCTGTTTAAGTTTTGTCTTTGTTAAATGGCTTTTCATATGTTTGGGTCAATAAAGTCCCTTTTTTGAATTAAACACCTGTGTACTTTATGCTTTACTGCTTGGTCCCTGACAGTCATTGTTAAGTGGCTTAACAATCTAATCCTTTAAATCTTGACCTGCTACTCTTTTTGATTTTTATATTGTTGACTATTTCATTCGATGATGTTTTACATCTCTTATTTTATGCATGTTGTGATTTTGATATTTAATTGCTTTTAAGATGTCACTGAGTGCCTCAAAAGGAGCCTGAAAATAAAATGTATTATTATTTATCTATAAAAAAAGGTCAGGTACAAGGACTGAATACAAGTGAAAAAACATTCAATGTCAAAATATGAGGAAATTAAAACATAAAGAAAGAGTAGCTTTCTTTATGTTGGTCCACTCTTGATATGTTTTGTTGTATTGAAACTATTATTCTTAATGTAATTCTGCATTGTAGCAAATTTCAAGACTGATACTCTGATTTATCAATTTCCCAATATGGTGTAACCTAAAATAGCAGCGTCCAAATGTAATTTTTAACCTTTCTTTAAACAGAATCTATTTTTGTCACATCACCCTGTCTAATCCTCTCGATCGTTGCCTCTTCCTTTGAACCCAAACACTGATAGTGAAAGGGGTCTGTCGCGGTGATAGTGATGTCTAAGCATTAATGAGAGCGGGGGTTGTAACACACGCACACACACACACGCGTGCACACACTTCAGAGCCTTTCTATCATTTCCCACCCATCCATTTGGTCAAAGTTCAGCACAGATCATGAGATGCTACAGTACCTCTGTGCATGCATGGGATGTCATGAGACATGCATCAGTGGACTTTAACCCAGACCGACACACACATGGGCTTGCAACTCATTTACTTAACATAGTTTGGTTGTCAAGTTAATTAGCTTTATAAATTGGGTAGCCATGATGCTAAATTGTGTGAAAGTAACAGTTATATAACTTATCAGTATTTCTAAAGTATGTATAAGTTATTAGTAAAAAGCTACTTTCAGCTGCCCTCTTGTCACAAGGGGTCGTCACAGCAGGTAGCTTTCCATGTTTGACTTGGCAGAGTTGTCCACCAGATCCTGACAGAGCCTCAAAGGGGAAGCTATTACTATCATTAAAATAATGTGTGTTGGTTCTCCTTGAGTTTTTGCAATAGTTGCTTGATTTATGACTCATTTCTGCTGTCACAAGTAAAATAATGCTCTGAAACAAGTCTGATGCATTTCATATGACACAGCAGAGATTTAATTTGTGACTTAATCTCAGCCATCAGAGAGAGAAGTGAGGTGTGACAGTCAGCCAGGGAGAGACAGACTTATTCACAGCGATTCGCCGTCAATAACAGTATAATTTAGTTGCTGCACTTCATTCTCGTGATCCCTTAAACTGCAGGCGTCCTCGTGAGTGCTAATGGAACGTAGTAATTTAGTTTCTCTCATTTTCTGATATGCTCTTGTCCTAATGAAAGGTCACTTGACTGCGCTGCCTTATTCACCGTGCAAATCTATATTCAGCATCCAGTGAACCTGGGGGAATAGGTTCATTTTATGTTTTGTTGACCAATTGTTGACTTCTGCTGACCATTTAAGATCCTACAGTATTTTAGCAATCCTACAGTATTTATTACGAGTTCATGTCCAGAAGACATGCTGCTACCCTGCTGTGCTGACAGGCCTTGGGATCACCTATAAAAACTTGCATAATTCCATTGTCTTACAAGGTTTGTGTCCATTAATCGAGGGCATTTTGTGGCTTTTAACTTTTTTGCTTCCTCTCTAACTATCGCTTACTTCTTCTATACTCAAGAAACATGACTGCTGTGGAACTTCACTGTACCCCATGTTTATCAGTACATCAGAGTGATTTTGATGCTTTTTACTTTGTACTGCAAATATCGATTTAAAGAATCAGATAGTTCTACAGCAAATAAACAAAACATCATCCCGAAGCACGTTTGATCCTCGCACAAATTACAACTAAGACAGATCAAGTAAACCTTCTGTGTTAATGTGCTTAAAAATAGAGTGGTTGATAATGCAGTAAATAAAAAAAAACACACACCACCATTTACCACTGAAGTGCACGATTTTAAAATACGAAAAAAAAAACCCATTCCTAAAGTAAGTAATGAATGATAATTGCAAAAAACATGGGATACTACAGATACATCTTTGTGTATGATTTGTACAGTTGAATGCCCTTCCAAATTAAGGTCAAAGGTCACGAGAGAAAAACCTTGTCATTAATAAATATACACATTATTCTTAAAGAGATTCT